GAATTAATCTGTAAAAGCCTACAAATGATCAACGGAGACATGTTTTTTCGTCACATTTCAAATTTGCATACAAAGTGAGTAATCTGTTGTTGATAAGCCGACGAATAAAAGGTCAAGCGATTTTACAGTTTTCTATCATAATTGTGTGGCAAATCTGAGCCCACTTTTCAACAGCAACCGAAATTCATATCAATTAGTTCATTGTGACTGTCAATTGAAAGCGTTTGAGTGTTCGATAGTGAAAAAATTTGTGGGAAAAAAATCAGCTGCCAGATTTATGTGGTGATGTAAAGTGATTGACAGTAACTTTAAACAAATAATATGTACCATAGAACGATTCCAAAATAAATGAGCAGAACTTTATTTTAATCGATGGATTCGACTTTAATAAATATTTGTCGTGTATAGAAGAATTACAAGGATATGTTAAACAAACAACCCAATGGCCAATTGATGTACCAATTCATGATAGACCACCAGCAACAAAAGGCACGGCCAAGAAAATATCATATGGCGGTGGAGATGTTTCATTTGCCGGAAATCTTGGTGGAGATTTCGGTGGATATTTTGGTGATGATTTTGGTGGAGACAGGGACGAGGGAGATAACGATGTCATTCAATTTTATGATAGAACCAGTGATATTCTTCAAATAATTTAAAACAAAGATATTATTACCTGTTCCAAAATTTGCTGCATTTAAATCCGTGTACGAATTTCTTAATTCATATAAATGAATGGTTTAAAGCAATGAATTTCTAATTTGTAAAACATTGAATAAATAATTGTTAAGTCTTTAACTTGGTGCTCCAAATTTGATGATTGCATCTCAAGAAAAAGATTCAGAAATGGATTTATACTCAAGTTGGCGCCGAAGTTCAAACTCACCTTTCTGTTGAATTGTCTGAGAATTCCCTCTTTAGGTAAGTACGGTACAAAAACGGGATTATTACAAAAAAAAAACAACTTGCTATGATTTCAAACAACATTAATTTTTTTTTAATTAAAATCCGTTTTAAAATCGTTGCTTTGTTCGTTGCACATAAAAAGATTGTGATGGTTTTAAAATTTAGAATACGATAAAGTGATGTGTCGTTTCACGAAATAATATATTTCTTTTTTGATTTTAGATGGAATTGAATGTGCTATGGGACAGCATTCGGAATTGCTTTTAGAGCTCTTCGTGTTCTTCGAGTACGTATTCACCTTCTGGTAACACATCATCACAGTAATGGGCGGCTACGGTGCACAGTTCAATATCGATATCATCGGAAATTTTCTCTTGCTGCAACAACTTAAGTACATCATCTTCATGGTCTTCCAACACTTCCAAGCACTGCAATGATGGAAATATTCGAAATATTCGTTATTCACAAATTCACCATTCGAACATAAAAAACGATTGATTTTTTCCTCAAGTTGCTTGTTAAAAATAAAAAGAAACTCACAAAATGCTTCAAGCTCTTGTTCAAATCACCGTCCTGAATGAAATCAACGGAGCTCATTTCTGGATTCATGCCACCATCTGGTGTAGTCAATTTCATTATTGTCAATTTGCCATTCGATTTGTAACGTGCCTTAGCATAATCATCCAATTTATCACCTGATTGAAATGTGAACGAAATATTTTGATTTCACAGATTCTAGTTTCACTGATATTGCGATATGTGTCAATCAAATGGTGTACTTACAAATGCTTTCCATCAGATCGGTTAAATAGGTTTCTGATTTCGAAAGTTGTACGAATTTTTTACGAGCATTGCCAGCTGTATCCAGACTATAGCCACCGATTTCGACCGTTTTCTTTGGATCCACTTTACTGATGTCTGTGAGCATTTCATCTAACGTAGCTTTGCACACTGTAAACAGAATAAAGCGGGAACACCGATTAAAACTGGTTATTGACCTGTCTCAAACTGGACTGTAACACATAGTTCACTGGAATGATTTGAGCAAAATAGAACAAACCTAAACATTTCACTGCCCTGGAATCAGCGGCTTTGTGTGTTTCATCGATCATCGGTGGAACTTGGTCAAAGTCTTGAGCTGTGACCATGAAACTGGCAAATAAAACGAAGGCTAATACCGAAAAATATACCATGATTGTCTTCATTTTGTGTGTGTGTGCCGGCTGTTGAAAAAAAAATATAATTAAATTCTCAGTGAACTGCAGAGACGCGACACCAAGTACGACACGTACTTCAAATGGTTTACCATAAAACTAATTAAAAATTCAACTAAAAATAATCGCAACACTGGCACAGAATGATTTTGATTCGATCAGATGAAAGTGTAACATGTGAGCCAAAATCGTATAAGCAAACTTCTGTTTAAATTATACTGGCACCTTCATTTATTCAGGCCAATCTACTCTTTCACACAACGTTTAGTTCATTTGGTGAACAAATAAAAATTTAACACGTTTCAAATCGTTTCGGTTTTTACGATAATAAATTTACACACAGTTTTCTTTATCTCTAACAATCGAAGCACACGTCAACGTATAATAATTGTTGTCGGCCAGTCGCTGTCATACCAAATGTCAGAAGTACACGCACACCGAAGAAGAACATTTGTAATGTGTCTGTATGGGACCGGCTATTACGTCTGTGTAATGTGCTATGATGTTGTAGCGGCAGTCAATGAATTCAGCATGAGTTCAGCTGGTGCTTGTATGCGTGTGCTGGCATTTGACTGTCATTCCGACAGAGTGCGAACAGTGTATTTGGAATTGTGGATACAACAACAATAACAAAGCGAAGCTCTAACGACTTCTTAATGCCACTATACAGACTATACGCACATCGCACACACGACGTAAACAATTTGCTTGGATAGAAACGATTATGAATATGATACAATGCACAAGAGAAACATGCATGATCCAAACAAACCAATTTTGTTTGTATTTTGATGAGTAAGACGTCGATACATTCATTTGAATTTTGCGGTTTGGAATTTGCCTCGAATATTGCACATAGGCGAATATACGTATTCTTTGAATACAAACATTTTTTTCTTAGTTTTAATGAAAATTTGAATCATTTTTTTTAACGAATTCAATGTATGGAGAGAAAATTGAACGTTAGCGGCTATTTTTAAGCCCAAGAGCAAAATCAACGTATGTCAATGACAAAATAATATCTATTTTGTTCTACTTAAATCACCTTGGTCGTTGATGAAGCTTCAAATTAGTAAGCCGTTGGTAAATTTATCAAGCGTTAATCATGTATGGGAACTTAGAACTTTGCAATTTATTTCAGATCATTTTTTTTCTCTTTTGTTTTTGATCTAGTTGCCGTCGTTGATTGTTCCACGTAATTTTGTTGTTTGCTCGTTTTTTTCACTTTCTTTCTTTAAAATTCATAGTGCTGAAGATTAGAATCAAACATCAACAGATATTATATGCCATTAATAAAAATTAGATAATATAATTCATTGCTTCAATTAGTTTGTTTGATTGGGACGTGGAAAATGACCGAAGCGCATTTATTGTTCGGTTTCATATAATTTCGATTTGGGGATCGAGCATGTGAGAATTTCGGCAATCGTCATAATTTGTTTTTATTGTTGTTAGTTCAAAAAGACGAAGAAAAAAACTGAAAATGAGCGCTTGGCGTAATCAAACAGGAAATACAATTTATAAGGTTCTTTTTCTCTCTCATTCTGTATGGCTATTACACCCATTAGACGGAATTTCTTTTCTTGCCACAATTTGTTTACCTTCGTGGTCGATGTATGTAATTTGGTTGTTCAAACAAATGAAGTGTAAGCATATTTAGTGGAATTTAAATACCTATCCGAAAATCATTCCAAACATCAATTTATGTGAAGAACACTGAAAACATACAAATGCTTTGCAGCGGAAGAAAAAGTAAATTCAAGTGATTTGAATGTTTCTTTGTTTCAAAAATGCTGAAGAAAAAAAAAGTGACAATGAGAAATTTTGGGCTCGAAAAAATTGAGCCATTTGAGATTCATTGTCACTCTTTAACTTTCCCGAAATGATGAAAATGGTTTTGTAAAGATTCAAATCTCATTTCCGGCCGATGTAATAACTCATTTGGAAGAATTAGGTATTCATTTAATACGATTCTTAATATTGAGTGTTTGATGTGCATTTTTTTTAGTTCATGTGGATATTACTTCGATTTCGATTGAAATGACAATCATTTGCTGAATTAAATATTGGTTCTTTATTGAGGCATTTGTAGCGCATATACTGTACGTTTGCTATCTTCAGGTGTCATAGTACATACTTCAAACATTCTTCAATGTTTCAACGATTCTAGAGCTTATCAATCAATTAGAATATATTAAACTTTGAATGTAAGAATCGAAAACATTGAATTTGATTATAATTGCCTTCGAACTCGGGGAAACCCACATACTGTTACAGTGGACTACGTAATAAGTTTGATACGTATGTAGAACGGGTGACAATTCATGTACGATTATTTTGTGTGACGATTTCCTGTAATATCAATATCAATATAAATGTGAATTGTTTATATAGCAAATATAGATGATTATTCACCACCGTCTACCACGCCGTTAAGAAGTCATTCATTCCATAATATTTTCATTAGTTTTACAACCTTTGTGCCTAATAGACGTAAACATTGTGTTTATTTCGTATCAATGTCTTGGACGACTTTGATTTATCAGTGTGAAACAAATATATTACACGTGGCGTTAGATAAGATGGCGATGTTAGAAAGATTGCTCATCGTTCCAATGATGGCATTGCATTTACATCCATCGCTACAAGCATCCACTGAACAAATGTAGGTAAAAATGACCATTTTTGTGTAAACTGTAAACGTTACTTCGTTTTTAATTTCCTTTTTAGCCATGACAATGTGATGCTAGAAAGCCTTCAACATACAAACGACTATAGCAGGGACCATTATCGAACATCCTATGGAACTGATGATAGAAATGTTCAGAAGGTGGACCCTTTATATTGGCAGAACAAAGCCCACGACTAGGGCATTTCTCACGAAAAGAATGAATGAATTCTTATAAATTTTGAAAAATTTCTTCCGTTCGGTTCGATTCGATCAATTTTTATCAATTCGTGTAAATAAATGTTCATTTACACTGAACATGTGTTCTGGAAGTGGGTTTTGGTGGATCTCAAGGATTGTTCAGAACTGCTCCCGGTTCTGGAAGTGGATCTTCAGGATGGGCCAGGGCATTGTCAAACCGGATCTGGTCCATCTTGAGATCCACTAAAACCTACTTCCAGAACACTTTTATTCAAGCAATATCGTTATTTCAGTACATTTTCTTACAATTTCAATAAAAAAGAAGAAATAATAAACATTTTTGCACATTTGTTCAGATTGTTTGTGTGAGAAATACCCCTAGCCTACGATGGAGTTAAAAATGTTGCAACCGATTTTTGGTGGGATTTGGGAAACGATAAACTTGGATATGCTGTAACGGTAATCGTCAGAACGACAGCTGGTGTCCTGGGTGGTATTGCTGGTGGTCCGTTTGGGATGATAGCGGGAGAAGTAACACATCGGTCAATAAGTCCCGAGCCTAAGTAGGAAAACAACATTTTTTTGCCAAAATTCAATTTTATTCATCAACATAGTCCCCTTTTAGAGTGATACAATCATTCCAACGCCTTTCTAGCTTTTCGATACCAGTTTTGTAGAACGATTTGTCCTTGGCCTCAAAATAGGCTTCAGTTTCGGCAATCACCTCCTCATTCGAGCCATATCTTTTTCCCTGGAGCATTTTTTTGAGATCGGCAAAAAGCCAGTAGTCACTGGGGGCCAGATCTGGAGAATAAGCCGGGTGGGGAAGCAATTCAAAGCCCAATTCATGCAGTTTGGCCATCGTAACCATCGACTTGTGACACGGTGCATTGTCTTGGTGAAAGAGCACTTTTTTCCTTGCCATATGAGGCCTTTTTTTGGCGATTTCCTTCTTCAAACGCGTTAGCAATGCTATGTAATATTCACTATTGATGGTTCTTCCCTTTTCAAGATAGTCGATGAATATTATTCCGTGCGCATCCCAAAATACTGAGGCCATAACCTTGCCAGCTGACTTTTGTGTTTTTGGGCGCTTTGGTCGACTTCCACCGGCTTCTGTCCATTCAGCTGACTGAATTGCTTTGAATCCATTGTTTTGAAAATTACAAAAGTAGCGTCACTTAAACCACTGTAACTAGGTAAATAATAGTCCAAATGTCATGAAATTTTGACAGTAATCTTTTGAAGGTTGGTACTTTCGAAAAATCATGTGGATATTTCATTAGTGGCGCCATACGGTGGTTAGGCTCGGGACTTATTGACCGATGTGTTATTTGGTTTTAGTGTCGCAAACGTCGAACACTATACGGAACGACGATTTTTCCATAATGACTATAAAGTGAAAAAAAAAAGAACAGAGAAAAAAGGAACAAGCCAAAAAAAACGCACCAAAATTCGAAATCAAAACGTATAGACGAATCTTTTTAACGCGCAAGAACGATTCATTGACAAATCAAATTCCGTTTTCTTTTCGATGGCGGTCAACACTGTTAGATAGAATCAAAAACATGGGATTATTCGACCTTTTTTTAAATTGTGATGATAATAAATTCCATTTTCGTACGAGTGGTAGTGCAGTTTCCAATGCAATCTGGTGCAAAAACGTAATATCTGGACAAAATTGGTTGAGTGTATGAGTGTATCATTTTTGGCATTGGCTTTGTTGAAATTATTCAATGTTTATTGAGCACTTCTGCGAATGAAGGAAAAAAAATTTTCTTGAATCAATTTGTTTTGTTAAGTTCTTCTTCGTCGCTTTAGAATTTCAATATTAATGGATGATTGTCGATCACGATTTGCTATACAAACAACCAACAATCGTATACAATATTTTCATATCACATACAAAATGTAGATTCATTTTAGTTCGTTTCCGTTTTTTGGACACTGATTAAATGTGTGTAATACTGACCATAAACAACAGTTTATAACTCTTGAACTTATCAAACAATAACAATATTCAAGAAGGGACTAGAAACGTGAAGAACAGCTCAAACTACATTTATCTACATAATATCACAACAGTTGACTACATAATATGTGCGATACATAACACACGCTGGCGACTACTGCGATTACTTAGCACAGCTCTTCTCGGTGTGATATTTTTTTCACCGTTGAATACAAATGATCTCTACAAAATATGTAAACGATTATGCGCAGCTTCGCTCAGAAGTCACTTCGCTCACTTGCTCCGTAATCTTTTCATTAGTTTTACAACGTGTGTGCCAATAGACGCACATATTGTTTTCGTTTCGATTGTCTGTAAATATTTCGGTCTTATCGGTGTGGAAATAGATTGTAATAAATGTGCAATCACATAAGATGGTGGCGCTAAGGCGATTGATCGTTGTTGCAGTGGTAGCATTGCATCTACAACCAACATTGGAAGATACACCCGCTAGACAAATGTAAACGCTTTTATTTATTTTTGGAAAAATTCCAATAATTATTCACATTTTAATTCACATTGCCATTTTCGGTGTCTGATTTGTTTCGAATTTTAGCTATAACAATGTTATGCTGGCAAGTCTTCGACACACAGACGATTACAAACCATCCTTTGTATCTTACCGGCCATCGTTTAAATCATCCAATAGATCATCCTATAGATCGTCTAATAAACAGTCTTCCAGGGCCAATCATAGAAATACGCACAAGTACAGTTCACATGTGCCAAATCCGTTTTGGTAGTTTCAGATTCACAAGGGCGTCGATACAACCAAAGAAAAAGTGGCGAAAGCAACCGATTATTGGAATGCCATGGGTAGCTCGAGATGGGATTCACATATGCCATTTCCATATTATCATTTCGTTGCATGAAGTGGGCAAAGCTTTAGAAGACTATTGGCGGGGATTGGGCAATGATAAATGGAGATAATGGGAGCGAGTTCAATAAATTCATACGCAAAAAAGTGAATGAGATTATTCTTTCCATTAACGAAGCGAATGCGGGGGCAAATGAAAAACACTGACTCAGTTTTAAAATCACGTTCTCGAAACAAACAAGCACATATCACATAGACTGGCTTCAAAATATCGATTGTAAAACAAAGTTGGCTTTATCTTCTCATTTTGACGTAGTTGGTTCATCATTTTCTATCTCAATTCAACGATTTTTCGCACTTTCTCAAAACGACTGAAAAAGCATCGCACGTGTGACAATTTCAATTATGTTGATGAGAGAAGATTAAGCTAGTTTTATTTTCAAGCACTGGCATCCATTGAAGTCTGAGGATGAATGGGACATTGCCTGGTTGCGAAAATTCTGGTCACATTTTGAGTTAATCAGATCATTATCAAATGAATATTGCCCCATATTGCAAAATAGCGTGACATTTGTGTCATTAGTCAACAATAATCTTGAATCGATAACTGTGTCACAATTATATGAATTCCAAAGGAATTTCTGTTTCAAGAATTTGCGTGTCAAAAAATTTGCTTGCGCAATAAATCAATATAGTTCAACGTAAATAAATTGAATTGAAATAGTGATCATTTTGTCTGTGTGAAGTAGCGATGAGGTTTTCATTAGCTACAGTGTTTGTTCTCACATTTGTGCCATATTCATTGCAATTGCCCGCCGTTTCAACAAAACCTACGATTAAATCTGCCACCAGACTAATGACCAAACCAATAAACAAAAGCTATGAGTAAATTTGCGAGTAAACCTATTATAAAACCACTTGACTTGATAAAATGTCTTTTGCACATTCAAACTTATACCCACTTCAAATAATCTTCTTTTTCAGTGCATTCAAGCATCGAAATTTTTATGATCCATATGTGGATTCATATTTGAAAGAGTACAAACTGCCGACTAATGATCCACAATTTATTGCTGCGAACTCTGAGCTATATGATTATATAGCCAAACCACTTCCAACGAGTAGACCGATGAGCCCAGAATTTGAAGAATGCGTTCAAGCCATCGTAAAATATGGAATCGAATTATTTAATGCTCTTGTGTTCTGCATAGCAGAGAGGGAAATGCAAGGGAAAATGTCACAAGAAAAACCAGAACCGACTAAAGTACCGAAGAAACGGGATAGTCGTGGCCGTCAAGACCATCGGGAGCATCGAAAGCATCGGGAGCATCGGGAAGATCGACAACGGACCACATTAAAACAATTTCGACAGCCGATGCATAGTGTAGACAATCCTGAACGTGAAGAAATCAGTTCAATTTATGACAGGGTTTATCAGCTAACTATTGGACTCTGTTGAATACACCACGTTGAGATTATTACAAAGCTTTCATGACACCTACAATCACATCATACACTATTCAATTACATTTTTAATTGGATAACACGCCGATTACACTTCCACGCGAAGTTTTTTTTATGAATTAGTTCATTGAATACTTAACATAGGTAGATACTAAGAATTTACTCCAATTGAAAACAGTGCTATATTTCAACGAATTTTGTTTGTACATAGCCTTCATCTCAAGATCTTTGAGTGAAACATTGATGTTCAATTTTGTTTTGTTACATAAAAAATAAAACCAAAACATTGCACAGCAAACACAATTTTGTTGTTTTCTTCAGAATTGAAGCGTGTTCAGATTTGGCCAAACCTATCAGATAAGCACAAGCACAATCACAACCACCCGATAAGAGTGGTTCATTTATCGATTCATTGGTATCAGCTGATAACTTTTTCATTCAATCGAAACTGTTTGATAACACACCAACATTACAAAGTAAACACAACCAATGATTGTGTTCGTTGACAGACACAATGTATGTTCTCGAATGGAATTGACTTGAAGTTGCCTCCTTTTTATATATTTCAGACTCAAAATGAAATCGACATCAAACATTCGTTTGGCTTGATAAGCTGGCATTGGAGTTGAGCTTCGTGGAATAAAAAAAGTATTTGCTTAATCATTCCTTCTGTTTTAGCAAAAAAAAAAGCCGTTTATATTGTTGCAATTTTAGTAATTATTCATATTTTTTCTTGAAATTTTTTGAATTTAGCAAAAATAACAGAAACAAATCAGAAATAAATTTAAAAATTAATCGCGGCAAACAAAGTCAAATTAATGTGAAGAGTTTCTAATGAAGAATGGCATCCTTTAAACTATTAGTAGTTGAAATAGTTATACTATCACTTCTGCCGCCATCACTTCAAGGATATACAAAAGACGAGTTGGTACACACTAAATAAATTTCACACAATGCTATGGGATATTTTTATTCAAATAGCATAGAAATATCGCATAAAAATATCCAATATTTTTCTCGCGTTGCGTTCAACGTTTACCACGACCAATGTTCAGAGTTAAAAAATATTGGATATTTTTATGTGATATTTCTATGCCATCTGAATAAAAATATCCCATAGTTTTCTCTGATAAATTTAGTCTTTTTAAATTGTTATAATAAAACAATATTTTTCTCCAACAAACTATAGACTTGAGCAATTGTCAGCCTTATCAAATCAACTGCATGCTATGGAAGAGGGAAACGATATGATTCCATCCGACTCATCGGAAGATTCGTTCGTATAAATTCCATTATGAAGAGAAACTTTTCACTCAACATTTTCTCTCTCTCTCTCTTTCACCAATCGTTTTGTGTTAGGTCAATGACAACAGAACCAAGCGACCAGATCGAAATTCCCATATTCCGTTTCGACCTTTCCAAAGGCATAATTGACATAGGACCAACAGAATCCGGCCACAAGGTTGATTTTTTTGATAAATGCATGAGAGATGTAATGAGAGGCAAATTCGGAAATGGAAAATATCACTTTAGTGAATACATATTTTGCAAAGGATGGTTCGGTAAAAAATTCTCAGATGAAGTTGAATTGGAAACGGTTGCACACGAATCGATTGAAATAAACGCCCTAGATTCTGACGAACAAATTAAAATAGGCGATCCAGAAAGAGTGGATAGCAACGAAGAACTTATGAAAAAATTCAGAAATCATGACTTGAACATGCAAGTTAGTCGTGAAAAAGATCAAACCAATCAAGAAAAGGGTGTTGATTATCAAGAACAAGATTACGATTTCAAATGATGATTATGAAGAAAGAGATGTCGATTAGTTTCACGCGAAAAATTAAAAAATTATTAATAATAAGCAAGGTTTGACAAAACAAAGACATTGTAACAAACGATTACAATTGTATGAATTCAATAAATGTTTGAAATTGGCTCGAAGCTATCGTTCTCATTTGTATAAAATAAGGTCAAACATTCGCTGATAGTTGAGGTCATGTATTCTGTTCACTTTCTTATCATCCTTTTGAATTAAATATAGCTACAAATATTGATGGACGACAACAATCGTCTCATTTGTTGATTGTTGCTTCCGTTCTGAAGAAGTGCGCTAGCAAACCTCTCATTAATTTGTGTTGAATTGTTAATTTTCAAAACAAAAATCGAAAAATTTCAATAAATGCGAAAAATCGAATGAAAATATCTAATTTTAAATACAAAAACAATTGAATTAAAATGAAGTTGGTAAAGTTTTTTGTAATCGGAACGCTGGTGTTGTTATATGTGCAGTTGTCACTTCAAGCTGCTACTGGACAACGGTTTGTTTAATTCATTTCTATTTCTTTCCAAACTCTCTTTGCACGAACAATTGAAACAATTTTGAAACACTCTTTTTAGAGACCCAAACATACAAGAATTACATGGTACTGATGGCCACTAGCAAATGGATGAAAATCCCACAGATACGATTATAAACCGAAAGAAAAGACAACAACAAATGAGCACCTATGAAATATTTAATGATTGCATAATTAATGTATGGAAAACTGGCGTTGAGTCCAACGATTACTTATTCTGCAAATTCGCGTCCGGCATCGTATTTCCAGATGTGGCCGAATTAGAGCCGTTGGGCTCGGTTGCATCACAAACCGAAAAAATCATTAGGTTCGAGAAGGATGATACTGATATTGAATCTGTCACAACGTTTTCGGATTATCTTCTTAGTAAGGAAAAGAAAGCGAAAGAACAATTGAAAACCCGAAAAAATCCAAATGAAGACGATGATTCACGATGCAAATAGGTCTAGAGACGTTTTTTATTTTTCAAATAAATAAACTTTTGAATAAAACAAAATAAGTGATAATATTGTAACATTGAATAGAATAGCGAAATTCCGTTTGCATTGAGAAATGATTATTTGATTGACATGAAGCTATCAACTGTTCATTGAATAAACTGTGGCGCAAAATCAAAACAAAGGTTAATCTTTCATTGATAAAGTGTCGAGCTGAATTGTGTTCACCAGCTTCTTATCACTGCTTTCCATTCGCCATTCCGAGAAACAACGACTTGTACTCACAATACTTTCAACTTGTGCGGAGTGAAGTGTAAACGTGAACTAATTTCTACGACGGAGAAAATATTTTTATTCTATAAAAGTTGAATATTTGTTCAAAATAAGAAGAATAAATTGAAGAGAAAAGAAAATGACATCGATGAACATTATCGTGGTCGGATTATTCGTACAGTTATTCCTGCAGCCCGTGCTTTTACTCACAATCCCAAAAGCATTGGATGAAAATAAGTTAGTAACCACTGTTTCACTTTTCTTGAATAATTTTACTGTCGAACATATAACAACAGTGACATTTTTCACTAAATTGTTTCCCATAGAATTCCCACCGTGGAGGATGAGTGGAGGGAGTGGAGGGAGTGGAGGGAGTCGAATACATTGATAAACAAGGAAGTCTTAGAGCAAAAACTAATAACGGATTTACGTGAAGAAATTTTCCAGCGCTGCATGGATGACAAAGGTGGATATAACACATATGAAAATTACGTCAAGTGCAAACCCTATGAGAAAAGGGAAACGCAGAAGATGTTGGAATCAAAAGCGATTGGATCCACAACTCCGAGTAGCGATGAAATAATCAAAGTTGAAAGCGCTGAAGCACATGCAAGTGAATATGAGGAGGAAGAAAACGACCCAGATTTTCCGGTTGAATTTGTTGATGAGGAGAAGCATTTGAATAGACGAGTTGGATTCTGGACGAAATTGTGGCATCGAATCATCGATGGGCCGGAATTGGATCCATACCCGCTCTTTTAAAAAGAATTTTTTTTCACGTAGATTTGAAACCGATAAGATGTTTTTCTGTTTCCGCGAATTTCTTTTTAATCATTCCCAAATAAACCAAAATATATTCATTATTCAGCAAATGATTTCAGTGTTTTACTTCCAGTTCACTCAACTTTAACATAAATCGAGTCGATTAGAACTGTAAATATATCACTTTGAAATATATTCCAAGAAATTTGAGCTACTTCAATTTTAAAAAAAGAGTTCTTTTGATCTTTAACGTTGAAGCAATGCGAGCTCACATTGAACGGAATTCAAATCATTTGATTCTCAATCAATTTATCCATGGAATGAATAGTATGTGTGTAGTTGGGCTTCATTCGACTAGCGGTTGTTTGTCCGCCTCTCGATCGATGCGATTCTTTTTGATATGCGAAAACAAACAGTACCAATGCCACTTGCTAATTTGCCCATTTGAAGAGATCAACAAACGTGCTATTGAACACTCACACATAGTTCCCATAGAAATTGTATTCGCTTCGTCCAGGCGGTGATCCAATTAACGGTTTCCATTTGGATTGATTGAGATGGTTCATGTGTTCTTTTTTATCGTAGTAATTCGATCAGAAACAGTTCGGTATGCGTTCTCCATTTACCTCGATTATCGTTTCATTCATTGCGATTGGAAACACACCGAAAAAAACAAAGTTCACCAGCACAAAGCGACTCAATGTCTATTTCGTTTTCGTTGTTCTTTTTTTTTGGTATTGTCGGCACAAACATGTATTTCAACTGGCGATATATTTTATTTCGTACGAAATACTGTCCACATTTGTGGTTGTAATTCGATCATCTTTAAATAATTCAATATTTTTGTTTAAAAACAAAATGCAGCAATGAAATGACAGTCAACTGAAAACTATGCAACGACCAGCGACTCACACTCGCACTCCCAATGATGAATTCACATCATGCGCTTGATTAATTTTCCAAGAGTTGCTCGATTGTTTTAGAATACGTTTTTTTTTAACGTTTATATCGATTGGCAAGTTGCCCATTCAATGCAATGAAACACAATCGCCTCGTTTCGTATATTCTCAGCTTCATTCAGGTTTTCTTGAATAAGACGAAAAAAAATGCCCCTCGAAAACAACAGTTTGCAAAATGATCAAAGAATTTCAGAAATGTGACAATCAGATGCGTTTCTGTGCCTTGGGTGCAACCGAGTACAATGCGCATGAATTCACTCTTGAGAAACAAATTAATACTTCATAATTTAAGGTTTAAATTACACACACACATGGCCCGAAGATACCCATCGAATGGGTGCGGATTGCATGCAGAAAAAAAGAGCGAGAAAAATCAAACTGTGATTTGATATAAATGTGTAATTCAAACCATTAGTGAAATGAGTGCGTAACACTTGTTGTGCAAAAGTTTTGTCATCATATTTACCATCTCTTCCTCACTCTTTCTTTTGTGACCCTTTTCTTATTTTGGCTGGTTTTTTTTCTTTTTGGGTCTGTTGCAGCGTCGCAACGGTTTTCATTCATTCCATCATCGAATTTTGATGACGAAAAATATGTCGAAAACAACAAGAAAAAAAGGGCAAAACAAAAATGATGTAATCGATGTGATATCGAGTGCATAACTGATACACGTATTGATTTCGTGATTTTCGTGATCGATTTTTTTGTTGCATTTTGCGTTATGTCTTTGGTGATCCGTGGTATCATAATATTGAGATGTGCTTACATGTGAGAATTCATTGTTCGAACGTCTTTTTGACTCATCATCCAAAAATTGGGCATTTGTCACGAAAATTAACAGACAGGACCACCAGAGAAGCCCTTCACGTTCGAAAAGCGGCTATTTTGCCGCGTTTTTTGCTCCATCGAACCAAGTTCAAGCGGAAAAAATCAAGTTTTTGAAATAAAATTGAACTCATTCTTATTTTATATATACTCTTCTTGAGGTTTTTAAATCAATTATATAGCAAGAAGATTAAATTCGATTGTCAAATTCAATCTTGATCGCAAGTAGGTTGGTCTTAAATCAAATATCCTGATTAAATCGAATCTCAGCACGAAAATTCATCGGACAAAAAATTAAAAAAAACACAAAAAGTTGAATCCTAAATCAAGATTCTTGATACGGAAATAGCTTGAGTGATGTGGTTTAGCTGGGGCACAAAATTTCTGCAAGCCGATACGTTTTTTCCGACCGCTTACTCTAGCGGCTAAACGGAGTGCCGCCCGTTGGCACAATAGCAAATTAGTAAAATAAATAAAGATTTTTCAGTTCATAAATTTCACGTGAAAATGAGCGAAATTTGTGGTATTTGTGAAACGGTTTCAAATTTCTACCTCTCCGGCACAAGGGAACGCACACACACACTCACACAGGCCTAAGTGCACTTGATGTTCATAATAATCGTAGAAAATTTAAATAAAACCACAATGAACAAAATCGCTCGTTACGTGTGTTTTCATCGTAAAAATCACTTTTTTGGCTTCGAGTGATTTTTATTGGATTTTTACACGCGAGAGACACAGCCGTCAACAGCATGGCCCCTGCCTAGTTAGTGTATATATGCTTTTTACCGGAAGCCGCAAATTCGACTCTACACTCAAACCACAAAGTATGTTCCTTTTTTTCGGGGAGAGAATTTACTGCACCATCGATTTTCTAATTGAAACGATGATTGATTCGAAACTTTTCGAAAGCCACGAATTAAAAACCAGGTAATTGTTGTCGGCAGTATGGAAAATGAATCGATGCGGATTGGATTACATGTGGTTCTGTGCATTGTTTTCGTTTCTTTTTAATTTGACACCACAGGACATATACGCTGTTTTTCTTTATTCTAGAGCATTCGGCGGTCACTTCCACAAGCGTCTGCAATTAAAAGAGACGAATGAAAATGAGCAAACGAGCGGACGAGCAAACATACAAATGGAAATAATGCTTCTGTTCATTGTTTGAATTACCGCTTCAAGTGTCGAATTTAATACTGATTAACACTGATTTAATCGAATAGAAATGCACAGTGGAATGATATTGTTAGTAGTGAAAAAAAAGTCATTCATTTCTCTCACTCTCTTTCTCTCCATTTTTTTTCTTCTATTCGTTCTTTTCAGTGAACGAAATTCAATTGAATAAATTACCATAATCACGATAATTGTCGATACTGTTACTACTCACAAGTGAGATTCGGATCAGAAAAAGAAAATCCTGGTGTGTTAAGTAGCCACAGTTTCGACACCTTTTACTTGTTTTGTATTCAAGTCAAGAGACTGGGCGATGGAAAAGCCATACATCAATTTATCATAAAATTCATAAATGTGTAGCACATCGCCATTTGATCTGGTGGCTGAGCCCGACACCGATTGTATCATCATTACCATACGCATCACAAGTAGGAAGCATTGAAAGTACACACAGCTTATTTTGGTACATAAAAAGAGCATTCTTCAACGTAAAATGCGCTCAAGTGAGTTTCATCTCGTCAATTCAAATGATGTTTAAAGGGCCATTCATTCGACGCGGTTAAATACAAACAGAGAGATATACATGTTTGGTGCCGCGCACTTACAATGACAACATGTGGAGTACGACTAAATCCGTTTATTGTGTTTTCCACTTTGAGAAAAGAGGTGTTGCGCCCTACACACTTTACAGCAATTGCCATTGTGTGTTTTTTTTCTCTTCTACTTCGCAATTTCAATAGAAAAGCCCACTTCATGTATTCTAATGATGATGCCGAGACTTGAGCAGGAAAATGTAGCAATAACATCGTTTTGAATGCGACGAAGTCAGCCACTTGAATGATTGAAAAGCATTTCATGAGCTAAATTTTGACTTTATTCGGGTTCAAAATGGTATAAATCTTTTGTGGTGTCCGAGTCAAAGGCCATAGATGTGTGCGATTCCAAAGCTATGGATTAAGCACTGGTGCTTGCTGGACAGCAAGACTTTTGGTACGCTAAGCATAGAACGATTTGAGCCATTCCTTTCTTATAGAAGTAATTCAGTGGAAAATCCTCACTTGATGCCATAGCAGCCAATCAAAGAGCGTACAAAATGTTCAAAATTTTCAAAGTATTTCCAATGAGAAATGATCCACATGTAATAAACGTCATTAATAACGCATTAAAAAAAATTATCCTTTTATTTTCATTCAGAATTATAAGAATACTCCAAAAATTCCACAATTTGTTGAAGATAAAGAGATGTGTTTTTCAACGGAGAAATCAAGTGAAAAGGAATTTCCCTTAAATCCAATACAAAAATTGGCCATTGTGACTCCATTCAGCCACATAAATCTCCAATCAGCTCGAAGTCAACCTCAGAAGGGCAAACAAATGGAGTGTAATGTACACAAAAACCGCCTATCCATCATTTGTTTGTGTGTGTGTGTGTGTGTGCTTTTTTTCTTCACCGTTTGGTCGCTTGTGGTTAACTTTTTGTGTATTTTTTCCGATTTGTTTGCATTTTCGGCATTTCGTGACCATTGTTCAAAGTTGCCCAATTGATGTCCGTACGCCCAAAAACTCGCATTGTTCAACGGTAGGTTTTTCTTTCTATTGTTTGCATTGCTACTTCATCTGACCGTTTCGTTTATTTGTTTGTTCGTTTTTTTTCTCCTCCTTCTCTTTTTCAGTGTCATTGGATTTCTTTAATTCCGTCTATTAGGGCTTTTTCTCTGTTATTGTCATGTCAAAAATGAAACGATGCCGATTCGAAAATGTGAGAATCGCGCGAAAACTCCAATTATTATTTATATATTTTTTCCTCGAGTGAAATTGACGAGCATTTGAAATCGTTAATCAAGTATAATTGTTAAGAAATGTTATTGTTCAGTGTGTGTTCCATTGGCTTCATGCTCATAACAGTACGCCATGTGGATCACCGTCGTCGTCATGTATTATTTTAATGTACATTATTTGCCATTTGTGCTCTCAATTCTATTGATGTGCCAAGGTAATCGACCACAAAATGCCGATCTCGCTCACTCGACATACGTGCATGTTTATTTGCTTTTTGTCAATCAAAATGCCTTCGGGTCGTTTGGTTTCTTTTCCATTCGCATCTTGTGATGCGTGAGCATCGATATGTTTTTGATTTTAATGTAAATTAACTCGATATTCTATTTATTATTAAATTTTTCTTTATAGTCATGAATTAAGGTTAATTTTTGAGTCAATGAGCACCTTCTGGGTGTGTTTGATCTGTTTTTTTCTCTTTGGTCGTTCGCTCTCTCTCTCTCTCTCTCTCTCTCTCTCTCTCTCTCTCTTGCTTTCAGTTTATTTCAGAGTTTTTTTTCCGTCTTATTCAGAGTATGAACCGTTGCCATTTACGAATAATGAACGCGGCATGTTTTCCATGGGCGGACGTTTCGATTTATGCTTTATTTTTATTTCAACTGATCGGTTTTTGATCGCCTTTCAGCGCGCGAAACGGCCAACATTACCATTTCAATGACCACACGACCAATACACATTTCATATATTTATTTGTTGGCTGAAATCGACGATTTTTATTTTCTGCCATTTTGGTTCGTTTTTTTTTTCTTCTCTTCTCTCGTTTTTTACGCGTAAAATTTGCTGCTTAACAATCGTAATTACATTAATTTAACGTCAAACCCAACCAATGAACCCTGCCAACGCAACAACCAAATGATCAATACACACGTAAGAAAAACACGAACAAACTTTAATCGCTTGAATGAGACAATTTAAATCCAGATAAGTTGCATTCCATTAAATAAAATTACATTCATTTCAATTTCGAACAAAAAACGAATAAAAACTGCTACAAGCCCAATTATACGCATACACATTCTATGCATCATTCGCTATTTGGGATGAAGGAGAACGAACTTCTTTTAAAAATACATCTTCACCTTTTTTGCTTCGTTGCCTACCTTTTTCGACAATTTTGCAGACAATGACGACGAAAAAAAAGCGAAATTATCGCAAATCATTCCGATGAATGATCGCACAGACCTATCAGCCAAAGGAATGATTTGGCTAATGCAGAAATACTCCTTTCGCAACAGCAGCAGTCGCTCTTTTCTCATCCGTTTTTATTGAGAGTTAAACCGTTTCTTTCTTCGTAATGTCATTCAAAAAGGAAATGACCGGCTCATTCATCGAAAACTCAACAATTTTTTAATTTATGAACAAAACAGAAACTGTTGAAAAAAAAATAGGTGATAATTTTAATCCTTTAAATACATGTCATAAAGAGCAAAATGCTTATAATTATGGCAATTGGGAGATTACCAATGCTCTTGAAAATTTGCATAATTGCGTTTAGTCTATAAAATAATTATTGTTTTTTTTTTGTTCATAGAAGGACAAGTGACATTCCGTAACGACATGTAGCGACAGCTGCTTCAAAATAATCCTACACAAAATACATATCCACTTCATACGGCTGCTTGTGCAAGAAATGTTCACCGTGTCTTTGGTGCTGTCATTTCTGGTTGTTGAATTGGTCGATTTAGTGCATTAAATGTAAGTTTTTATGTCCGTTTGTCCAATTTTGATTCAGCACATTTAATCAAACAGCCGGTGATTTAAAGAACATTGTGCGCTGCAGTCGTTGAGCGACGACCGACGATATAAAAAAATGAAGCGACGACCATTCAGTTTGTTTATTGTTCAATATTTAGCTGCACTTTTGTTCGATTAAATCATCTCTGTGGTACCTTTTGTGGCTGTGGCATCTGTTGTGTGTGTGTGTGTGTGTCCTTCATTCGAAAAGATTGATCAAAACGAATTTTGTGCATTTATTTTGCTTTTTAACGCGTAATTGCTGCAGGCTCATTGTAATTTCTACGTTGCTGCAATGTTTTATTACGGGCTTCGACATAATAAATAAAATCGTTTCGTCGGTCATTTTCGCAATGGACAGAAATTCGTTAGTAATTTTCGTTTCGAAAAATCAACGGGCTTTAGAATCCACGGGACTTTCATCAATGATGCGCGCGGACTCGCTCGTTCGCGTTCTCATCCAAAAGTCTTTTGACCGAAGCATATATGTAGTATTTTTCGTTTTGTTTCCGATACAACAGCAAAAGCACATTCCAGCAAACACACAAAATATAATAAATTGCAGGTTGTCCGCCGTTTTCTTCGCCTTATCATCGCCAACTAAACATTCATTAAAAACGTCGAATGAAAAAATGGCGGAACATTTTGTGTCCGTCACAAATATTAATCAATGAATTCATCATCTTTTACGTTGACATTGAAAGCAGAACGAACGAAGCCTTAACTTGAACAGTTTTTGATTTGGTTCTTGTGTGAAACGTGCGCGTACGGCTGTTCTTGTGAGCGCATCAATTCAAAAGAGATTGCGACGCGCATTGACGTTGCGAATTCGCAATAAAAATCGAAAGCGATCACAAATGAACAGAGAGAATAATGCGATTTCATTGTTTTCAAATGTTTCAAATCTTTTATCCTTTTTTTTCCGCCTCATCCATTCGCACGTCAACATTAAGGTCTTTTGATTGTGTGCTATTGTTATATGATTTTTTTTTTACTTTTCTGTTCGGCTGCCATGGAATTAAATGGAATGAAAAAAAAACGAGTAACGTCTTTATCGTTATTATTATTTTGTGTTTGGCACGATGAATTGACTTTATAATCCAATTTTGGTTCTTTGTTGGGAAAGTAAAAGGCATTTTTGCGGCTTAATTCTGTTCTGGCTACTATTTTATTGTTAAGTGCCGCATTTGCAACGACTTAATTGCAATAAATGCAGAATGAAGTTGCAGTTTCGTTCAGCGAGAAAATGAAAAGAGGGAGAATTTTTCATCGTCTGATTCATATTGGTCCGTGAGAAATTTATTAGCTTGCAAAAAGCATCGATTTTAAATGCACATTATCAATTTATATAAATGCCATAGTTGGAGTGATATTTTCAATGCCGCGGCAATGCATCCAAGAGAGTTGGCTGAATTTAAGGCCATTTGTGGTTTCCTGCACTGAATGGCAATCACATTTGAATCATTCAGCTAAAATGTTCAAATGCATTTCGATTAATCGGATTTTTGTGTGAGGGGGTTGTTGGTTTGGGCCGTGCACTTGTTTGGTAAATTTCAACGAAAATCCACTATGTCAACACGTGTCGCCGCAATTAATATCCTATTTACCATCCAAATGCAGCCAATGCTCTTTAAAAGCCAAACATGTTGCGCGTGGTCGAAACACACAAAAGAAAGTGAATCGAAATTCACTTCAAAAACACACACACGACCGAAACACAGCCAAAAACCACATGAATAATCGCTGCACTTCCATCACTAAATCAGCGTATCAAGCATCATATTCCATAATGTGTGAATAGAATGCGGTTCGCACTACGCACCGGATTAGTTACGGTATTTGTTGCAGATTATTATTCATTTATTTATTTATATTCGTTGTGTCAACATTTTGAGCCGATGACAAGTCGACAACGATAGAGTGTCTTTTCGAAGTAACGAAATAAAAAATCTTCTATATTCGTGTGGCGTATGTTCAATGTCAACCGATTTGATTTATTGACTTGAGTGAATGAGCCGAAATTCGCTAATGCGGAAAAGAGACACGAAACATGAAACAAAAGTCCTGTAAAAATGCACAACGGAAGAGAGTGGAGCGAAGAAAAAAAACTCTCGAATTATGTGACGAGAAAAATTAAAACGAAAATCGACTGTTTCATAGTTTTTTATTCTGTCATAAGAGAAGGTTGCCGTGGTTCCACAAAGTTTTCATTCATATTTCGATGGCCGGATCCATAACGAAATGGAAAGAAGAAGGAAAAAAAAATTGTGCGGTTTACTGCTTGAGTTAACATCAATGTATTTATGCCATAATCACACGAGCAAACATTTATTTTATGCCGTTCATCGCGCGTTCACCAATTTATGGTATTTTGATTCTCTACATTGATCGATTAGATTCTTTCATTCGGTGACAACACATCATCTGATACATTTACAGACTTCAGCAGCAGCAGCCACCACAGTACGAATAAAAAAAAACCGTCCTGCATAAATATGAAGAGCGAAAAAAAAGTTGTTTCATGTCTCGCAAATAAATATTTCATGTTATGCTATTATGACGGCTAATAAAGACGAAGCGAATGAGCGAGAGAGAAAAAACCTCGAGCGGAAAAATGTCGAGAAGGAAAATTGCGTTGAAAATCATAAATGGTAAGCTCAGCAGAAAATTGCTCTTTTCACAAGGGAGACAGACGTTGTGCAGCCTCTCGACACTTAGAAAAAGTGTGATTCTTTTTTTTTCGATTCGCTGAAAATGTGGCAATTTTCCAAACACGTGATAACGTCATTTAGAATTATCGCGCTTCAATTACACTTCATTTTTTTCATGTTAAGTGTAACAATTTGATGCTTGACAAGCGGAGGACTGACGCTTTAAAGGCCAAAAGATATAGCGAAATTAGGTATTTATAGCGTTTTTCTGTGACGAAAGAAAAAAACGAATCAAAGAAATGACAAACTAATTTTCTTGTTCGATTTGTTGAAAAATTCAAGGAAATCTTTTTATGTGGAAGAAATGAGAATTGTGACCCCAATCGATGTATATATCATATTGTGTGTACAAACGTATAATCGTTCGATCAAATCGATATAGTTACCCTCAGTATTCAGTCACAAATGGGTCGATATTTCAACCGTTCTGCAGCCGAGAGTCGATTCCAAGTAAATCGCTTATTGAATTTTCATTTTAATGTTGCATGCAAAATGTTTACTTACTATTTTCTATTGGATGTTTCTCTCTGTGTCTCTCTGTATTAAACTGGAAGCAATCTAAAAGCCCAATAAAAACCGACACAAAAACAACAAAGAGAGCAGCCATCAGTAGCAGCAGCAGCAGAAAAAAAAACACACATCGAGTAAAATAGCATCTCAAAACGGGCACATAATGGTGAGAGACGAGCAAGCAAGCAGGAGGAAGTTGAGAAAACGGATGGCTTGATACGCATATTATCCAAATGCATAGAATTTTTCCACATAAAACAACCATTTCCTTTTCCATTAAATGGAATATCAACCGAGTCTCTGAATAGATGAAAATACTGTAAAAATGGCCTTTTATATACATAAGACGTGGCGTAATTTCTTCCTCTCGTACGTTTGTCTCCCATCCACTTGCACTGAATACATATCATAAAAAACGGCCAATACAATGTGTGTTGGTAGTTGGGGTACATTCTGATGGATTTCGACGTTACTTTTTCTCTTCTCTCCTTCAATCGATGATGAAAATTTAATAAAATGATACTAAAGAAAAGAACAAACGAAACGACAAACGATGAAGAAGAAAAAAAACTACAAAGTGTAGAACTCAGCCAAAACTAGCTAACCATCACTTATCTGGTTTTAGATATTCGAAGGCAATTCACATTATAAGTTCCATAAGTACAAGGCTTGATGCAACGATCAAACGCGTTCGCATCAATTCGTTTGGTTATGCGTTAATTTTGCTTTAGTATGCAGTGCGCGTCGTTTCAATCGGCTATCTCTGTCTTTTGCTCTCCCAAAACCGTGTTATATATCGTTCGGCGCTCGCGTTCATCAGTACATAGAACGAATGGAGGGAATGAAATCACGCAAACACCCATTCTACGACCAAACAAATACCTCATTGAGTAAAATGAATGCCAGAGTACATAGACACTAATAAATATACGATGCCCTGGAGGCGGAGCCCATTTTCCACTTGTATATTTGCTTTGCCGCAATGTTCTTGAGGCAACCAAAGCAAACGAACACGTTACGCATATACATGCGTAAATGGCCCTCAATGCACACACTCACGGTTTCGATGAGACGGAGACCAAAAAGCAAACGAACCAACAAACGGGGAATGAGGCAGAATCAACGAGTATATGTTGAGGCCTCACTACTACTTCTATGCATCAATCGGCTGCATATATCCGAACGATATAATATACACATACACACATCGTTTATTCCATCGTTCGTCATTCGTAGCACTCGTTCGGTTCTCGAGATCGTTGTTTCGTCAGTACACATTTAGAACTGGTTGGGTGATGTTATAGCGCATTTTATTCGCCTAAAATTCACAACAACAACAAACTAAACCATTTCATTTCACACGATTCAAAGTCTTTGTTACATTTATTATTATTACTATTCGACGACATAAACTATTTTGGTGTATTGTGCGCGTTTCGTTTTTTGTTTTTCTTCTGCTCATACATTTGATCGAGTCAATTATTTGCTTTTGTTTCGTTCATAAACATTTATTGAAGTGCAAGTTTTTGTACAATTGAACAATGACAGTGTGTGGAAAATCGAATGAAAATAGCAACATGAATGCACAAAGTCGCAATTTAGTTGCTAATCGACCGAGTTTTATGATTACTGACATTTTATCGAAGGCTGCCGTTGAAAAAGCGCCGACAACACAAAACTCCGAATATCTACAACATCTTGAACGTTTTTCGGCGATGAATCATCATGGTTTCGGCATGATGATCCCCGGACAAATGCCAACCGCTGAACGCAAAGACACATTTTGTGACAGTGACGATGATGATTTACATGGATCAGACGATGCTGATGGCCAAAGCACCGATGGAAGCAATCGTAAGTTTGATTTAATTTTAGTTTTCAACTTATTTCTTTGAATTCGAAAAAGTTTCAAATTTACTTGAATTATTGTGAAATTTGGTTTAAATAAGTTTTAATTGACTGAAAAAAAAATATGATGGAAAAATTGAACTTTCAGATTTTAATTGGATTTTCAAAACAAAAAAAAATTGATTTAAAAATTGATTCAAAAAAAATGAAAATTCGATTCATAATGTAGACAGTTCAATTTTTTCACTGTTTCGTAATAAATTGAGCGTTGAGTCCACATAGTTTTATTAAAATGTCGTGTTTTTCGTGATTGACAAATTCCAGATGGTAAAGATGATGACCTAAACGAGTCAAACCGTAGTGGTTCATTGCCATCGGATCGAATGTCCAATAAGAAACAACGCAAGGCTCGCACTGCTTTCACTGACCATCAATTGCACAGCTTGGAAAAGTGTTTCAGTCGTCAGAAGTATTTGAGTGTACAGGATCGTATGGAGTTGGCCAATAAATTGGGTATCAGCGACACACAAGTGAAAACATGGTTCCAAAATCGACGGTAAGTGATCTCAATTCAGATTGTTGTTGTTGGTTTGTTTTTCCATTTCGTCGAATTTGATATGATTTACGGAATTTATTGTTTTCGGCGTACGAATGAAATAATGTGGTTGAACAATGAGCTATGAGTCTATGATGCGTAGTTTTGCGGTGATTCGGTTCGGTTATTATCTTTTGTTGTACAAGTGGGAGCAAAATAAATTGTTATTCAATGGAAATTAGTTGATTTGGTTGAAGTTTTCCTTCGTTTTGGCACACAGAGAGGCGAATGAGTCAGCGGCTTTTATTTTGTATCTCCCGTACCGCTTATCGGTTATGGAGCAAAACAGCCAAACAAAGAGAGCAAAAGAGAGAGAGAGAAAGAAAAAACCATTTTGTATCTTTATTATATTACTCGGCTGTTCGAATCAATGCAGCAAAAATTGGTATTAACTAAATGATTCATATTGACGCCTTTTCAATTACGGAGCAAGCAATACAAACACACAACAAGCATAATGCGACAAATGTCGAACAATATTTTACGCTTGGCAAACACGAAATGATAAAGCCATTCAACCCAGGCCCAAGTGTATTTATTTATTGAACGCGTTCGCATAAATGTCTCACTCATTCTCTCTCACGCGCACTCATTCACTCGCTCTCCGATGCCTCGCTATGCTCAAAGTATAATTTCTCGAATTATGGGTTCATAAATCGAGGTTTTTGTCTATGGTTGCAATTTCGTTCTGCCACTTCACGAAAGTTATACTACCATTTCCATTTCAATAAATTAGACACGGTATAAACAGCACAGTATGTATGTACAAGTACATTAGCCAATGCGCAATGGGGTAATCTTTCACTTTTTCAACGCCGCTGCCGTCGTCGTCGTCATTGACTCGGCAACGAATGAAATCATTTTGGTTTTTCGCCTGAACGGTTTTTCGTTAAATTTTATGTGAAAGCGTTTGCTGTATTTTATGCTAATGTATAAACAGTGTGCGATGGAAATCACTTTTCACTTACAGTGACAACGAAAACTGAACCAAAAGAAAGAGAAAAACACAGCGACGCTTAATTATAAACGCATTCGACGGAATGAATCTGATAAAATTGAGCGATCCCAAGACTTAATGCAAATAATAATTTTGTCATTTGACCACCCACGAAACGATTAAGACGATGTGTTTATGGCACCATACCAACAATCTCAAGACGACGACGAAAAAAAGACACAATTCGAAAAGCGATAACACAATAAACGAAAAGGTGTGACACTCACACACCGAATTTCCGTTATTTTATTGGATTTTAGGTTTACACATCCTTTCGCATTCCTTCCTTCCCATCCCGATTGGAGATGAGACTAGTAATCGCATTTTCAGTGTGAGAGATTGTCAAATAAAAAAGCTCTCCAGATATTCAAGAAGATATTGAGTGGTCGGGACGAGAGAGCGTGAGACTGAGATTGCAAGAGTGCGTATGCGTTGAGGTGCCAAAAATCATTTAGACATAAAATAATATAATGGCATTTAATAAGGACAGTTTAACAAACAAAATAACAATAGAGATATGGAATTTATTTATGTAATCCCTATTTCTTCACTTCTCTCTTCTTCTCGTTGTGGCTGCTTTTTTCGGCAATATAATTTCTTTTGTTCTCTTTTGGTTGGATGCTGATTTTGTTTTGTTACCGTGTGGGAGTTGTAGCTTTTATGCAATCACCATTGTGTTGAGATGCACTCGACAAAACCGCAACAGCGACGACGATGACGACGAAAACAATTCGAAGCACCTATTTATATTTATTTTAGATAGGGATTATGAAAAAAAGGAGAACTCTTAGACAGGCTAATGTACGATTTTGCTGCGTTTTTTCTTCTTCTTTTGAATCTCATTTTATTTTTCGTTGTTTTTTTTTCTCTGCCTCTCTTTGCTTCTCTATCGTCTTGTTGTCATTTTATTTTATTTTTTGGGTTTTTCTCGTCGGTTTGTTTACCTGAGCCTGTGCTGGTGCAATTTATGCGACGTGGCGCCTGGCGCTCGGCTTCTTTTCCTCTCTGTACCCTCAGAATAAAAAGTAATGCATATTTCTGTTATTATTATGATTATCTATTTACGTTTTGAGCCTTCCTTTTCTGCTGCTCACAGTTCTCTTCGTTCTCTTCTTTTTGTTCACTCTGTAACCACATTTGCTTTCATCAATGTGTTGTCATTTATCTGAAAATGAAAATTGCCGGTGTGCAATGCGTACAAACTCTCTGTTTGATATTCTTTTGTTTTCTCTCATCATTCCGTTCTTTCATATTTCGCATGAGTTTGGTATTGTTTTTTGTTGTTTTTGCCTCCTTTCCATTGTCGACATCAACAAAAGCCTATTTGTTTTATAATTTGCTACGCATTGTTTAAGAGCATTTTGTTATTGTTGTGTTGGTAATTTCCAACTTGATGTCGACTTGCTGTCGATGTGTAATAGTTTGATGGGCAGCAGTCGATCGCTTTGAAGAGAATTGTGCATGATTGATTGGCTCGGTTGGTAGGTGAAACACCTCTGACCGATCGATCCTAGGTAGTCGTATGCACAAGCTGGAAAAAACAACAGATTTCGCATTTTTTTTGTTCAGAAATTGCACTTCGGCGACACCGAAAATCGTTGAACATTTTCGTCTTGGGCGCCTGTTGCCAATCTCTCTCTCTATCCGGCAGGTCGACAATTAATTATGATTGACGGTTTCAATGCGAAAATAGCCAATTTCGTACAAACACATGCATATGAATAGATAAGAAAAGGACACGGCAGGATAATTGCTTCTTGCATTGGATTATTTTACTGCAAAAATGATGATGATGATGAGTTGAACAAAAGAAAAATAATATTTGGCCCGGATTTGGCGCCATTCAGCGAGTTATGTTCTTCTCTTTGGTCAAAATGTGTTCGCTTTCTATTTCAAAAGTTGTGCAAGTGTTTCGGCGCCACTCGATCCGGATATTCATTTGACCACATCACAACACACTCACTCACTCTCGCACACACACAAACACATGCCTTCTGAAACAATTGCAGTCGAGTCCATTTTAAAAGTTTCGTCCATTCGGTTACTTATATTGCTATAATTAGAGATAAATGGAGATTGGGAAACAAAAACTCGGCCGCTGCAAAGTCAAAGCGAACGACTGAAGTGAAAAAAAAACGCAGAGAACGAGCGAGAGAGAGAGAGAAATAGAAACGAAATACCAGAAGTAGAGATAAATAATTTTAATTTCTATAAGACAAAGCTCTTAAACGACCGAACGAGGATAATTAAAGACTTGGAAAAAAATATGATTTGTATAAAGAGCCAAGTTACCGCTACCTGATCCGATCCAAACCAATCCGCTTCTTGCTTTAGCACTCTTATTCATATTAATAATCGTTTTGTACATATAAATCCACTGCCACTATTTCGAACAGTTTTATCGCTCTTTTTTTTTTACTTAACCGACTTCCAATTCTCGGTCATTTATATATTTCTACCTGTCTGCAGCTCCGACACTTCCATTCGAGCGAACCGAAACCCGGATCTAAGATCATTCACGCCGTAGTTTTTTTTTCTGCTGTTGTCATTCATCTTTTGTTGTTTTCAATTTTCTAAATCACACGCTCGATGGCTATAAATTCCGTTTATTATTTTTTTTGTTTCTATCAATGAAATTAACGATAAAACTCTCGATCCTTCTTTATTATTATTTATCGATTTTACTATAATTCGATTTTTTTTATGGTTTACAGAACGAAATGGAAGCGTCAAACGTCCGTTGGTTTGGAATTGTTTGTTGAAGCTGGCAATTATGCGGCATATCAGCGTGCCTATGCAGCACGGTATGGTCAAATGGAGGGATTGCCATCGTATGCGACCAATCCATTAATGATGGCAGGTGCTGGTCATCCGATCGGAATGCCGCCATCGAATCTGTCATCCGTTGAGAGTTACTATCAGCAAATTCTACAGAATGGAATGAATGGAATTGCATCACAACATGCAAGCATGTTTGGAGCTCCACATCGCCCATTGGCAATGGTGCCACAAATGCCTGGGGCTGGCTTTCTACCCTTAAGTCCACCGAACAGTCTGTATCCAACATCACGGCTGCCAAGCACTTCACCGCCACAACGGCTTAGTCCAGAACAACCGAGACCACATAGCTTGAGTCCAGCCGCCTCGAGTCTGCCATCACATTCACCGAAAACATCACAGCCATGGCCAACAAAACAACCATCCACACACAATGCATCAGGCGATGAATCTGATATCGAAGTATAGATTAATTTAGCGATGATCTTTGAGACTATTCGTAAGAGAAAAAATGAAACGGTATTTAAAATGTTTTTGGCAAATAATAATATAAAAAAAGCAGAAAAAAAACCCTTTAGACATTAAGATTTAATCGATATAACCATAATTATTTTGTATGTATTTCGAATTTATCGTTATTATTTTTATAGAGCATAAATAATCCGTGTAATATTTAAGATCCACTTTTGAAAAACAACGACATTAAAAAACCAAAATTCATGAATTAAACGAATGTGTTTTATTTTTGATGAGAAATTAATTTGAAGGAAATGGAAAGGAGACAAAAAAAGAGGAATAAGGCAGAAAAGAGAAGGACAAAGGTAAAAAAAAACTTGAATTATACGTAAAAATGGGATCAAGGATAGTTCCGTTCTTTGAAGAAATGAGTCTTCGAAGCAAAAAATTCTTCGAACTCAACTAAATCACATTTAAATTGATTGAAAAGCTATTGTGTGTGACATGAACATGCTACGGCTCATTTTTTTCCGTTTCTGACAAGAATTCAATTATCGTGTTCTTATTTATGATTCCGTTTTCATTTTCCATCGGTCAAATTTAATATTTGACGTTGCAATCTCGATAAGTATTGAGCATTGAATCAAATGCCAAACATCAAATGGTCAAATTAATGGAATCGCATGATCTCGGCATGTACGTTATTCAGTGTGGCTGGCCGCTCATCGACGAGCTATATGTTACCTGAAGAATATCAATATTGAATAAATGCTATCCAGCCGCCATATGGATTCCATTTAATCGTCAATTGTTTGTGGAATGCACGCTAAACGCAATCCATTTTGATTCAGGGGAGCCGGTGGCCAAATGAAATATTCACTCCAATGCCAACTGAAAAGAATTATTAGAATCAAGCATTTGTTTGATGGTGTGCCATGTTAAACGTTACACCAGCAGTTGATTCATTTGATCGATTGGGTCGGTGTGCGTCATAAAATACATTTATATATCAATCGAATCCATAGAAATACACTGGGCTGAACAAACAAAAGAGCCTCGAAAATGCGCTTGCCGGCTCTTGCATGTGCACAATGCAAACACACGGCGGCACATACAATGAAAATGCACGACACCAAGATTCGAATACCAAACAACATGCCCATTGTTTCGTCTTTTGTGTGTGGCTCCGGCTCCGGTATTAAACATTTCCGTCGCATACACAAATTATGATGATCTAATATTTATTATAAATGTTTGATTTGGTCTATCACGCAATCCTATCATCTGTTATTTAGCGGACGAAAGCGAAACGACGCGACTGAGCGTCGAATCAAAGCCCAATGGGCTTAATAGCATTGATTCTTGTGAATGAATGGACACGGTAAAATTACAGTGTGTCTCTCGTTCGCGCGCGATGTAGTAAAATTTTGGGAAGGTTTACAGAAAATCAACGAAAAACACTATGATATAATTTTTTGTTGTCTTTCCAAAATGAGCCGACCGAATTCTCTGAAAACCTTTTGTGTTTTTTATTTCGTTTCGGCTCTGATTCCTGTTTTTGTGTTATTTGGCGCACTAATCGAAATGGTCAGTCAGAGTCGGCGAGAGGGAGAGCGAGAGAAAAATCGAAATTGGAACCTTAGCACACAAATTCATTTCTGCTCCATTAACATTTTTAATTTCAGTTTTTGCGGACCATGGACATTCAAGTTTAAATTAGCCACAAATTATCCCTCGCAAACATGCTAACGAGAATTCAACGAATGGGGAATTTTGTCAGTGTGTTTGTGTGTGATGTGCGCGCAAGCAGCGTGCGCGCACTTTGAAGGCACTAAAAACTTTTATTACGACCAATGAATGAATAAAAAACCAACAACAAGAAGCGCTAAGGATGTGCATTGGAACTACACGTATCCATATGTTGAACGATGAAGCTCATTGCGCCTCACAATGCATGTCTTCGCCCTGGAGAATATACTAAACCACAGCATTCCAAAATGATTATTATACACAATTCCAATTTTATAACTACATTTTCGCTCACTCACTTTTCCTCGTCTTCATGTTTTTTTATATAAGTGCATTCAAATACCTTGTTCTTCATCTATCAAAACCAAATTTGTGCTCAATATCATATATTAATTTGACGTACGAACTGAAACAATTTTCTTTCCTTTTCTCACTCTCTGTTTTGTTCCCCCTTTCAAAAATGAAATAAATGTTTAATTTTTAATTTGACTTTTGTATTTTTGTTCCGTGTGTGCTTCAATATTCCTTTTGTTGATCGAATTCATTATATGTATTGCCTTTGTGTCAATAGAAATGAAATGTATAAAGTACACTACGCTCTTGCTCGGGCGAAGTGAGTGAGAGAAAGAGAGAGAGAGAGAGAGAGCATGAACCAACAGTTGGTTTTGCTTGGTTCGAATCATTCATGTGGAAAGAGAAAAGAAATTTACAATGTGCTAGAACATTTTACGCTTAGTCGCGTCGCGCGCTCACTTTTGTTACCAAATTAATTAAAAGAGAAAAATTGAATTTGGTTTCCCCGATGAACAGCGATATAGATTCGATAGAGTGGTAAAACATGCAGTAGGACTTTCCATGATATTTATTGACAGATCCCTAATTTGAATTGTATGTTAATTTGTGCGTTGATGTTCAATCAGGCGGATGAATTAATTGGATTTTGATTTGGATTTGTGATTGAAATCAGGATGTTGACAAATAAGTGGCCACTGCCCACCAAATTCCTATTGAATTGCCGATGAATTCTGGTTCTTATCGACTAAATCTTCATTTTTATCCACCAAATCGGTGATTTTAGGTGTCAAAACGGGGAATCTGAACCATTTTTAAAGATGACACACAGCCGGTAAACATTAAGCATTTTTCAAACACACATCGACATTATCAGCGACAGTAGATTAACACACTCAGGCAACAATTTAATTTCAATCCATTGACACTGGTTATTGTTTTTTTGGGTGATTAATAATGTGCTATGATGCATGTGGGTTGAATAGTCGGAAGATCTGATAACAAGAAACTAATTAAAACCTAAACGAAAATAAATTAACCTGCAACTTCAAGTAATGTAAATTATTCGATGAAAACAAAAATTGCAGCAATAAATGGATTGGCTAAACAACAAACATACCTCGGGCAATAAAACAGGTGCAAGCCAAGAATTGCACACATTTCAACATGACACACATGCATAAAGAGTCACACATATGTTTTCGGTTTTTATTTCTCCATTTCGGTCGACACTTTTATGGCATCTTAAATGTTTCATTGCTGTTTGTTTGTTGCATATACGGCTCGGCTCATTCACTCCAAATAGCAATAAAAAAAACAAGAAGAAACGGAACTGTAAATATTTTCCCATTTTTACTCCCGTCGATTGTCGGATAAAGATCATTTGTGTTTGTGTGTGTTTGGTGGCAAAAATTCATTGATTTTTATCGCTGCATTTAGTCGAAGGTGCTAGAAATGTCTACTATTTGATGAGTCGCCATTTGTTGTGGCACCAAATCAAAACGAATTGCCATCAAAAACGGAACAACCTGGTCAAACCGAACGAAAAACAAAAATCAAATCCAAATCTGTTGTTTTTAATCAACAACAACAAGAAAAATATTGTTAAAGGTGTAATCAAATAAATTATACGTATTTTCATAATAATGAATGCAACTTGCGTTCGCACACACACACACACACAAACACCGAATGTGCACTAGACAAAAATCTAATTGATCCATATCTATTTTATTACACTCTATTTTTATTTGTTTCCTTCTTTCCATTTCTCAACTTCTCTCACTTTTCACAAAACTGCGAAAAAAGAAACTGTTGTTTTCGGCTGAGTGTGTGACTGTGTTTTCGGTGAAGATGTGAGAAAAATAACGCAACAGCAGAAGCGATGAGTTTCGGTTAGCCTAGTACCCTTGTTTTTGTGTAATGTGTCGATTGCACACGGGAAAAAGAAAGCCCAAGCACTTGGCGTCATTGGTGTGTCTCTCTCGCCAGAGCCAACCATCGCAGATAGAGAGTGTGATGTAAACGATCGATGGCGTCAAAAAGAATCATGCCGAAACAGACAGTCTTGTCTACAATGCTGAGTTTCTCTTGGTCTATGTTTGCCCTTTTTTACACCGACATTAACCGATAATCATTGAAAAGAATTATAGCAAATTATATCGGATTATTTTCATTTACTTCACATTTCCTTGATGTGTCGGCTTCTGAATCAAAAGCTACCATTCATAAAAAAAGATACAAAAATTTTCACGATTCCACAGACAGAGAGAGAGAGAGAGATAAACACGTGATACGAACAGACAATCACAGCGAAAATTATTATTTATTTTACCAAAATTGACGGAACAAAAAATTCATAGAGAAGAAGAGTAATCAAGTGAACATATCTCGCTCTCTCGATGTGATTTCCTTCTTTGAGCTCTTTGCATGAACTGGATCGCGCAAATTCATCTAAAAACACAGCCCATACGCGTAATTAACTTATGCAATTTTATCTAACTAAATTGCAATTAACTAAAACAATGGAAACAAACATGCGACTTAGCGATTGTGGTAAAGTGATGAGAAGATGCACTGCTTAATCAACTGACGATGCTGTGCATATTTCTTTTACCGACAAGTGGAGAATGAGAATGAGTGGGACGAAGAGAGAGAGAGAGAGAGCGAGCGAGCGATTGTGGAGTGTAACATATTTATTTTGATTGAAAATGTGGTACACACAAGCGTTTCAATCATTAGCATTTGTATTGTTTCCATATTTCATATTTTGCTTTAGTTGCGAGTAATTGAAATGTCTTCGTCGTTTTCACGTCAAACGTACTTAATCCATTTCGCTGTGTGTGTGTGTGTGTGTGTGTGTGTGTGTGTGTGTGTGTGTGTGTACGTTTCGTTCGTTCGCATAAAGTTCATCATTCATCCATATTCATGTTCCTTGTTTTGCAACTTGCACAACTACCGCATTTAATCGTAAAATTTCTCTCTATCTCAACGTTCAATTTCTTTCTAATTTTCGCACTTCTTTCACATTGCTCAATCGAGTCGATTGCCGCTCATTATACAAATTAAACGAAATTCTGTGCACTGTTTTTTTTTTGCCCTATGTTCGCTTGTAATCGTTGGCGGTAAAGAAGAAAAAACGATGACGGCAATTTTTTAATTGCATTCAGTATTTATACATATCTCCGAGGCAGAGGTGGCATGAACCGAAAT